AAAAAAAAGATCACTTTTAATCCCATCTTTTTTATTCAAAATCTCACGTTCATTGATTTCGTTATTGTTTTTTGTGCATTATACCTGCAGTATTTTCCTTATTCTTTCTTCTTTTCCGTTCCAGTCAGCCTCAAAACAACCTACACATTTATACGCATACTTATACAAGCCTCTTTTTCCCTTAGCCAACTAAGCAACGTGAAAAAAAAAGCACGAAAAAGAAATGCACATCCAAATAAGCTTCGGGAAACGCTATCGTAAAAATATACTGAAAACCAATCGTTCAAAACAAAAAGAATTTAGTCTTTTTTCGCGTAAACCTCGTCAACAAAGAAAAAGAAGTACTAAAAGAAAAATCAAATTTACTCTCCATAAGCCTTAGGCAACAAAAAATCACAAAAGGGCAACTCAAAATAGCAAAAAACTATATGACCAATAATGGCATATAAATCAGAACAACAACAACAAAAAAAAAAAAGCATCGCAAAAAAAAGCAAAACAAAAGGAAACCAATATTATGACAGAAAAACACTTCTGGAGAGATAAAGAGAGAGGGAGAGAGAGGACGCTACAATGTACTCAACCAAGCCTCACTCATCACAAACTTCACAGTGCACACAATTTTTGAAACGACGCGCGTAAACCAAACTAAAAATGTGAGTCAGCCGCGATGCGGGCGCCAGGGGACGCACCGCATCCACGTTTAACGGGGGAATGGTAAAGGCAAGGGGAAGAAGGGGAGGAAAGGGGATATTGGTGAAATAACACTGTGGGTATCTCAGTGTTTGCGAACGTCCGTCTGTTGGTGTGTCAGTGTGTCCGTGTTAGTGTCTGTGTCTGTGCTCAATGAATATTCGTATGCCGAGTTCTTCACCGAAAAAAAACGTCCTTTCTGTTTTTTTTTTTTATCAATGTGCGTGTGTTTGTGTGTGCCGAGGCTGTTGGGCTGTTGCTTTTGCTTTTCTGTTTCTGTTATGGTTTTTTGACAACGTTAGGGCGCTTAGAGGGTGCTGCTGCTTAGTGTTGCTGTTACTGCGCCGTTGCCGCTCTGGGCGTTGATGTTGCTACCGCCGCTGCCGTTGCCGTTGCTGTTGTCTTTCGGGCCTTTTGTTTTGTGGCTGTTAAAAAAATTCTTTAACTTCTTCACAAGTTTCTTCTGTTTCTCTCTTTCTATCGTCCTCTGATTTTTTACGTACTTTTCCCCATTCCCTCCCAATGTTTCTGTAGCTTTAAATCCGTATACGTTTCCCTCTCTCTTCCCCTCTAACATTCTCTCTTTCTTCTACTAAACTTACACGATGTTCGAAAATATTCGCCACTAGTTAGCAGTTTCGAAAGGAGAATAAAGAAGCGAAGGAGGAGCATGAAGGAACTGAGGAAACAGGAGGAATGGAAGATGACAATGTCTGAATCGCCCAACAGTTCTAATTTATTTTCTGGTCTTTCTGTGCACATGCAGCATTGATGTAAGACCGGCAATAACTTGTCCGTATTCGTTCCGTAAGGACGAAATAAAAAGTGATGAAAAAGAGGAAGCAATTTTTCTTTTGTATTTTAACGAAATAATAGGACGGAAGAACAAAGATGCGAGGGCAAGGTGCAATTCGCAAGTGGAAGAGTAAAGAAGAAAACAAATTCCTCTTTCGTATACGTCATAATCGCTGCGAAAGCCAAAGGGTTTTGATGTCAAAGTTAGTGATGCGTTATCAGCACTTTCCACCAACATGATTTAACCGACAGAAAAAAATCAATCGCTTTTTTCTCATCATTTTTTTCACGCAACGAAGAAAAAAGTCAAAAAAAATGTTGATCATTCAGTGATCGTTCAAAAAATTTCTATCCTAGCGTCGTACAATAATAATCTGAAGTTTGTAAATGAGTTGGGCGAAGAAAAAAAGCAAAGTGAGATGTAACGCTAAGTCAGTTTTTTAACGTGCATCATAAAATAAAAGCCGAGATTAAGCAGTATTGCCAACACCACACAAAAACGCAGTTAGGGCCGAAAACATAGAAAAAACTGTTCTTCCTAAGAAAGTGGTATCATTTTGAAATTTGCAACGAATAGTTCATGGAATTACCCATTTTATTTTATTAATTGAATAACTAACTATAGTAATCTTGCCAACAGTTTTGAGCCTCATATCGGGTTGATCAAAAAAGTTTAATAACCTTTTGAAAAAAGGTAACCGTTTGAAGTGTAAAACACATGCAAATGTTCCTTGCTTATCCTAATTCCTATCTCCACTGTTATTAGTTTACTGGATCATAATTTTTTAAAACCATTTAAAAAGGGCAGCAAGGAGGACACTCGTCTAAAGACTAAAATTTATCTGACAAAAGAAAAATCGTACTGAGGAGAACGGATAAAGAAAAGGGAAAACACTTCAGGAAAGTTAGAAGAATGGAAGATAGACTTAATTAATCAAATAAGCGATAAACGCATGGCCTGCTACTCCTGTTTTTGTTATTGTTGTTGTTGCTGTTGCTGTTGTTGTCGTTATAGTTGTTGTTGCTGCTGCTGATGATGATGATGATGATAATGATGATGATGATGATGAT